TCCCAGAGAACAGTTTGGCCGTGTCAGAACGGGCAGGGTGCAGCACAGCTTACCAGGCAAGCCCAGGTCCTCCCGTTCGTGCCAGCCCGTGGTAGCTGTGTCCCTGGGCACGTCGTGTTCTCGCCCACGCAGAGCCTTGCCGTGTTCACAGGGCTGCGAGTGCGTGGAACAGCCGCTTGGTTACGCGTTCGTGGAACGGTCACAGGGCACAAGCGGAGAAGGAGGAAGAATTTCCCCCTGTTGGCAAAAGGCAGGTGAACAGGGATCGCGAGCGGGGTTTGGTTCTTGGGTTGTTAAGTCCCTTCCAGAGGTGGTTCATCCCACTGCCTGGGTTCCAGGGGTGTGCAGAGCCCTCCTGCTTTGTTGCTGGTGGGTGTTTGCACCTTTCCTTACCTGTGCATCACACCTGATCAGCTGCCCGCGTGCCGCCGCTCGCAGCTCCTCCAGGACAGTCACTGGCCCTTGGCAGGAGGCAGTGACCTGCAGCGCGGCGTGCTGCCCGGCAGCGCTATGCTCCGTGTGGAGGTCGTTCCCTTGAGATCAAATGCAATATCCATTTCCCTTCTAAGATCTGATGCATCCCTTACCTGGAAAAGGAGGGGAGGATCTAATTTGCTTTCATGCATGTAACTTTGGGATTGTGTGTCCAAGTCAGGATACCGTCATTCAGCTGCCTTGACCAAACATATTTGAGCAGAGACTTGGGAGGAGAGATACAAGAATTCATGTTTGTTTTTTCCTTCTTCCTTTTGCAGTCTGATCTGGTCCCACATGCTGAAATTCCTAGTTGACTAAGGGCATGTTTTGGTTTATAAAGCAGGGATTAGCTAACTTGCTTTGAGGCATTGTTTTGTTAAGAAGTTTTTGAAGCTTAAGTTTGCCCAGTGGGAACCTGTGATGGAGTGAGAAAGCTTTGGAGGGCTCTTTCCTTTTTGATAAGCAAACACAGGCATAAATCATATTCCTTTTGTGGTTGTGTGTCTCTGTGCCTGAAGTGATGATTTCTGTGCAGAGCTTTTGGCATGTGATGGTCAGGTGATAACAGCTTTAGTTTTTGTTCTTTTAAGATTGTTTTTATCGTTGGCTTTGTGATAGAAATGCAGATCAGATAAAGTGTCTGAGTCCTTGAGCTCTTGGCTATTCCAGCCTTACTGAACTTGGAGTCTGAATGGAGACCAGATGCAGAAGGGCCTAGCAAACATATGGGAGAACGGACGGGAGGACAGGAAGGCTGCGGGCCGGGCCGCGGTGCCCAGAGGGGCTGCATGAGCACGTGCGTCGCTTTTAAAGCAAATGGCTCGGGGCTTTCCAGCGGCCTGGCTGTCCGTCCGTATTCTGGTGGCAAACCCAGCCACTGCAGAGGAGTTCTGTGGACAGGAGTGTGAAGAAGGGGCCTGCGGGGATCGACCCTGCGGGTCCTGCCTCCTGCCAAAAAAAGGCAGAATGGGGTGCCCAGAGGGGCTGCATGAGCACGTGCGTCGCTTTTAAAGCAAATGGCTCGGGGCTTTCCAGCGGCCTGGCTGTCCGTCCGTATTCTGGTGGCAAACCCAGCCACTGCAGAGGAGTTCTGTGGACAGGAGTGTGAAGAAGGGGCCTGCGGGGATCGACCCTGCGGGTCCTGCCTCCTGCCAAAAAAAGGCAGAATGGAGATGCTCTATGGAGATGCTCTGTTGAGGGAGCCGCTCTGCGCTATGAGCGTCCTGGAGGGCTGGCAGTGCTGCACAGCACTGTTATGCACCAGCCTGCAACCCCTTCTCTCCTATCCACGGTGCAGAGGAAGATGGTCTCTCCCAGAGGATTTTACTGTTCACTTTCTGGATCCCAACAGGTGAAGCTGATCGACTACATCCACAGACAGCGGCAGTGTAAGCTGAGCGTGCCCCTCAACGACAGGACAGCAGAGCTCAACAGCTACCCGCGATTCAACGACTGGTTAGACATCGTCAACGTGAGGAAAGAGGTTGTGCAGGTAAGGGGGGACAGCCCTCGCCCCGGAGCCCCCTGCACGGAGCCTGCTCGCGGGCAAGGCGGGAGCCTTTGGCGCAGGGGATGCTGCCCCTCTCCCGGAGCAGCGATCGCAGGCAGTAGAGGCAGTCGATGAGAGCCTGGAGCGGAGCTGCCCACCTGTGCTCAGTGCGAGTCGGGGGCAGGCTTTACCCAGAGCCTCTCTCCTGCCCGCCAGGTCCAAGACGGTCACCCACAGAGCGTTGTAGAAAATAACCACACAGTCCCATGCAACCCTCTCTGTGTTGTACTAGCCAAAACAGGGAACTGCAGTTAGAATTTTGTTTACTGACAAACATAACAAATGGACAAAAATGCTAAAAGTTGTTAAAGCTTAAGAGTTTTCTCACTTCTGAAAGCTGCATGTCATAACTCTATATCAGTGAAGATCCAAAGACAGCCAGTAGCTCTAACCGCTCTAAACTTAAATTGACCCAAGTGGTCAGAGTTTGCAAGTTTGGCTCAAACTCACACAGCTCACACAGCACTCGGACTATAAAAATAAAGGGATTGTGCCCAGTGTCCGCAGTAGTGCAGAGGTGGGAAGCTGCGGTCTGAATCTGGAGCATGTGGGAGTCTTGCTCAGAAACAAATGTTTCTCCATTACATCCCCCCTGCACGGTGAGTTAGGGCTCTGCTCAGACTGCTATCAAAGGCCATTGCATCAGTGTAAAAGAATGGAATGACTAACTCTGCTCGGGTGCTCTGTGTGGTGGCAGACATCAGATGTTTGTGCTTGCTGACCGCGGCTCTTTCTGGTCTTTACAAATTCTTCTGGTATAATTCTTAACATGCAAATCATTCCTGACCACTACAAGTCTCTACTGCACAAAATAATCCAATACTTCCACTGGAATCAGAAGTAACCAAATAAACCAAATCCTCCATTTCCTCTCTCTGACACTTTTAAAAGAAGAGCCTGAAATCATGTCCCCGTTTAGGTGGTTACTAAACTCCAGGACTGCGGGGCACTGACATCAGACTGTTCCCTGGGGTCTGGGCTGTGCGTGACTGAGTGCTGCCCAGGTCAGTGAAACATTGATGGCAGCATGAGGAGAGCTCAGTGCACTGAGGCCTGGCAAAGCACAAGGGGCTTTTTGCATTCTGCCCAATCTGGCTCTGCAGACCAGGTCCCTGGGTTCTCTCTGATCTTTGCACAAGCAAAGATTTTCCTAGGCTTCAACAGGAATCTGCCTGTGAAAAGACTGAATGAAAAATCGAGCATGGGAGTTACTGCAGATTGCTAATGTTAACTAAGCAGATTCTGGTGAAATAGGATAAGTTCAAGATGGAGCTTTCCTTTTATTTACTAATATTAATGTTGAATGTGATGCCTTTAAATGGAGGTTGCCCTGCAGCCCCCTAGCCAGGGTTTGGACAGTGGAGTTGGAAGTGCAGGAATGACAAGGAGGCAGGAGAATAGCAGCCTGGTGCTGTGGCCGGAGTGCCGGGGCTCCAGCTATTGTTGGTTTCTAGGGTTACTGGAATTGCCTGAGCCTGCAGGAATGTCTTTGAGCTCTGTGAAATCCTCTGGTGCCTGCACAACTGCGGGGAGAAGGAGGGGGAAGGACGAAGGCCGGCTCCGACCACATCCTGCTAATTCAGGGAGCAAGCGCTGTCCGGCCCATCCTGCCATTTGTGCGGTCACTGACAGCAGCAGTTTAATAGGTTAACTATTATAAAATACAGAATGGTTGCTCTTGGCTTTAACAGCGCTGGCTGTGACATGGCTGGGGAGAGCGCTGGTTAGGGAGCCCCTGAAGAGCCGGCTCAGCAGGTGACAACGGGGACACGGGGGTGCCACGCCTGGCCCTGCTGCGGGCACACAGGGCAACCTGGGGGAATAACTGCGTCCATAGAACTGGAAGAATCACACCGGGTTTCCTTCCAAACACTGTTAGAGGGTGCTGCAGAGAGAGGGTGACCTCACAAGTGGTGTAACAGCATTTCGATGTTAGGTACCTACCCCTCTTGTCTGAGAGACTTTTAGGCTCTGAAGCTAGTCAGAGAAGTTGTCAAATAGGTGAGAACTGTCCCCTACCTGGTCCTCAAAGGCGTCCAGCTGCAGCAGAGCCCGGCCAGCGCGGGGGCTCGAGGCGAGCGCAGGTGAAACGTCCCGAGCCACCTGCGGGGGACACTGCACCTGCCAGGGACAAGGTCAGGTGAAAGGCCCGAACTCGTGTCTCGTTCTTTTCATAAATGATCCCGATGCCCTTTGCATTTCCATAGTTGCTGGAAGGAGCGTTTCAGGGTTGTGCCAGTCTGTGACATAACACCTTTGCAAACAGTGTAATTGCAGGGAGCTCTTTAGTCCAGCAATTAGAGAAACAAAGCGCCTTTTCTGCCCTCCCTCCTCCAGCTCCCTCCCTCTCCCCCAGCCCGCTCCCGAATAAAGCTCCATGCCGGGAAGCGCAGAGGCGCCCAGCTCTCCTGTCAGAAATAGAGCAGCAGCTCTAATTTAGACTATCTGCTGACTCCCCGGGTCCAGAGCGAAGCCTATTTTTCACTCGGCAGCATGCAGCAGACGTTGTGAAGCTGGAACGCTCTCGCTGTTATCATTGCTGTCTTGTTGCGCTCTTTTCTCTCTGTGAAAAATCTGTATATCAAGCAAGCATAATGGTTGCTTGTGAAGTCCTCTAGTTCTGGAAGAGATTCCAGTGACACCAATGCAGTGTTTGTGGCGCTGGGCGACGGCAAAGCCGGCCACGAGGGCAGAGAGCAGCGGGGCCGCGGCGAGAGGGCCCTGCGGCGCTGGGCCCGCCGGCCTGCAGGTGGGTGCTGGGGACCAGGGGACCTGCCTGCAGGTGGGTGCTGGGGGCCAGG